TTCTAAATTTTTATATGCTATAGTCCATCCTATATGCATGCATCCGGGCTAACGGAAGCGAATTATCTTAAATTTTGCGGGGCCATAAAAAATTACCTAATGAATAATAGTCATGGCTTCGACATGACCATTCCTTATTTTTTGGCATTTTGTGGCAAAAATATTAGAATTCGGGCCGATTTTCAAATTCTCGTGTAGTCCACAACATCTGGATGAATTCGTGCTATTGGAATCGAATCGCTTAAAAATTTTCGGGGCCATAAAAAATGACCTAATGAACAATAGTTATGGCTTCTGCATGATCATTCCTCGTTTTTGGAATTTTAGGGATAAAAAATGAGAATTCAGGCCGATTTCTAAATTTTTGCGTGGAGTCCACGCCATCTCCATGAATCCGGGCTACCGGATCCGAATTGTCTAAAATTTTGCGGGACCATCAAAAATAACCTAATGAACAATAGTCATGGTTTCTGCATGGTCATTCCTCATTTTTGGCATTTTAGGGAAAAAAAATAGAATTCGGGTCGATTTCCAAATTTTCGTGTGCTCTAGTCCACGCCATCTCCATGAATTCGGGCTACCGGATCCAAATCGTCTAAAATTTTACGAGGCCATCAAAAATGACCTAATGAAAAATATTCATTTCTTCGGCATGAACGTTTATTTTATTTTTTGCATTTTTGGGCTAAGAAATAGAAATTCGGACCGATTTCCAAATTTTCATGTGTTTTAGTCCACATCATCTACATGAATCTAGGCTACCAAATTGGAATCACCTAAAATTTTGTGAGGCCATAAAAATGACTTAGTGAACAATAGACATGGCTTCGACATGACCGCTCCTTGTTTTTTGGCATTTTAGAGCCAAAAAACTGGAATTCGGGCCGATTCCAAATTTTTGTGTGTTATAGTTCACGTCATCTGCATGAATTCGGGATATCGGATCTGTATCGCCTCAAATTTTACGGGGCATAAAAATGACCTAATGAACAATAGTGACGGTTTCAATATGACCGTTGCTTACTTTTGACATTTTTGCGCAAAAAAAATGAAATTTGGGTCGATTTCCAAATTTGAAACTTTTGAAAAGAAAAAGTTTGTAGCATAAGTGCCAAAATAAGTTGGAGCTGACAATTGAAAATTTGTGAAAGCATGTATTACTTTCATGTGACATCAGCAACTATAATGCTCTTGTGGCTTTCCAAACATGCTCTTAGGTATTGCAAGAAGGCTTGTGTATCTTTGGGTTTACGAAAGTGTACATGTACATTTATTGTAATAAAGTGCAAAGAAGGGGCAAAATTAGGCTTCCAAAAAGGATTGCAACTCTATCTATTACCAGGACACGACGAAAACTATAGGAAAAATGATGTTGTATAGTCACTCTCAAAATAATAGCCGAAAATATGTACTCCCTCCGTTTCAATTTATGTGAACTTATTTCCTTTTTAGTCCGTGCCAAAAAGAATGACTCATTTCCTTATTTAGAAATAATTTACCTTTACATAATGATTTATAGCCACACAAAATATATGTGCCTCATTTTACACCACAAGATCAAAAGTATTCTCTCTTTTCTTAAACTCCGTGCTCAGTCAAATGAGTTCACATAAATTGAAACGGAGGGAGTATATTTTTTGTATATATATACATTTTATATGTTATATACAAATATTATACAATTTTGATATAATTTTTGACTACCGAATGTACATAGTTTGTAGCGGGGGCTAAAAGTGATAATACCAAATTATAAGAAATAGGAGTATTGGCTTTTCAGTCAACTGGGCAGCAAGTCTAGGGGCAAAACAAAAATAAACTAAAATTTTATGGATTTTTTCATAAATATGCATGAACCATAAGCTCCTCATGGTTCTCTCTTATTAATAGTACTACTAACCGACAACACGTGCTGTGCTCGGGCCCAATAAATATGTGCTAAATATTAGACTATAGTTTTTGGGACCTTTATACACATAGATGGTTATTGTTTTCTTTTTTTAGCAAATATACACAAAACATACACTAATGATACATGATTGTTCATATATATATATATATATATATATTTGACGGGCATTTTTAGCTTAAGCAATTGGATGTACGACTATTTAGCTTAAGAATCCTAAAGTTAATTTTAAACCACCTAAAATAATTGAAAAGAAAAAAGAATATAATTTTGTTGGTCCCAACTATTACCTGAAATTCAAATTTTAAAAGGAATCTGCTTTTATGATCATGTTGTGCTAATTAACATGAGCAAATTTTTTGCTTAACTTATGTTAAATGATACAAAGATCCCTGTTTTGCTTCTAAAGTTCCTCTCTTATTTTCTTCGTCTCTTTCTCTATTTTTATAGATTTTTTGCTTCTATTAAATGTGCTCCTGCAACTATCGTCATTGTCAATTTCTTGTATATCTTTCTAAGGTAATTAATTTTATTTACATTAATTACCTTAGAAATTAATATATATAACTGTATGAAAGTTGAACAAAACGACTTCTCTCTCATGCTCTCAGCGTAAGTTAGATTAACCTGCACCGGTGTGAAAATGGCAGGAGCGAGAGGCAGGGGTGGAGGCCAAGGAAGAGGATGAGGCCGTCCACAGAAAATTCAGAACAACAACTTTGAGCTGGAAGACAAAAATGATGAAGAACCAAAGGAAGATAGTGAAGCTGAGGTACAATCGACACATGCAAACAATGGATCTGGAGCTGGGAATCAAATTGAAGAACCAGAAGGGTCTCAATCGAGATCTGAGATGGCTATGAAGGAACGAGATACAGAAAAGGAGATAGTTAAAAGGAATGAGATCAATTCACAGATGCAAACCAATGGAACAGTAACAACGGTAGAAGAAAACAAGGAAGAACCTAAGGAGGAGGTGAGAGCAGCATGGACAAACTTATTTGCGAAGAATCGAGCAGCTGAAAATGGTATGAAATTAACCTACATACCTCCACAAGTGTTAAATGGTAATTAGAGTACAATATGATAAGGAAGAAGTTGATAGAGAAATAGAGAAATGGAAAAGGGGCTTTAATTGCATATGTTCTGGGTGATTTGCCAGAATATAATGTAATGAAGAGATATATAGAAAACACATGGAATTCGATTCCAGATCCAGAGTTATATATGCCTGAGGATGGTTATTATATAATCAAATTTAAAATGATGGAAGATATGCAGGAAATTCTGTTAGCAGGTCCATATACTATTAGTAATAAGCCAATTATACTTAAACAATGGACAACTGACTTTGATTTTGAGAAGGAATTTCCCACTGAGATTCCATTATGGGTTAGATTTCCAAAACATCCATTGAATTGCTGGGGGGTGAACTCACTAAGTAGGATTGTAAGTTCTATTGATACACCTATGTATGCTGATGAATACACTGCTAAGCAACTAAGAGTATCATATGCTAGAATGATAATAGAGGTAGATGTGACAAAGCCTCTAAAGGAAGAAATAAGAGTGGAAGATTCAAATGGGAAAATATTTCTGCAATCAGTAGTCTATGACTGGAAACCAAAGTTCTATGAAAAATGTCAAACCATTGGACATGATTGCAAGCAGGAAAGGGGAAGGCAGATTCAAATGAATACCCAGTATGAACAGAGAAAGCCAAAAAAAAGTAGTGCAACAATGGATTACAAAGGAGAAAGGGAAGATAAAAGAAATTGAACAAGAAATTTCCCCAGAAAAAGGAATGATGCAACAACAGGAAAGTAGGAGAATAATGGAAATAGGACAAGGGTCAAGGGAAGCAGAGAAGCAGAAATCAACAAGCAATGAAGTACAAACACCAGGGAATACAACAAAAGAGGTGAAAAGTTAAATCCCAAAGTTCAACGACATTCATTTTCCAGTTCTGGGATCAGTACCACTGAGGAATGGATTCCAAATATTGAGTAGAGAGGGGAAGGGTGCACACACAGTACCTCCAGACATAGGAGGTAAGACAAAAAGATCCATATGAATTGGTTAGTATGGGATATAAGGGGAGTAAATAAAAGATACAAGCAGAAAGAACTGAAGAAACTCCTAAAAACAAAAAAAAATAGGGATAGCTGGCATAGTTGAAACAAGAGTAAAAGAGAATAAAGCTGGAAGTATAGCCAAAAACATAGCCACAGGGTGGAGCAGTTTGAATAATTATGCATCAGCCAATAATGGAAGGATTTGGGTGATGTGGGATGATAACAATTACCAGGTTACTAAGATAAGGGAAAATGCTCAAATGATACATTGTGAAGTCATAGAGAATGTTGGTCAGGTGGACTGTTTGATGACTATCATATATGATTTTAATACAATTGAGAAAAGGAAATGTCTATGGGAAGAATTGAAGACACTAGCTCAAGGTATCAACAAACCTTGGATAGTGATAGGTGATTTTAATGCAGTTATATATGTTGCATATAGGAATCAAGGCAATCCAATCCAACAGGGTGATGTACAAGACTTTGTAGAATGTATGCAAACAGCCAACCTAAATGAACTGTTGTGGAAGGTAGATTAATATACATGGAGTAACAAGCAAAGAATGGAAGATAGAATACAAAGTAGAATTGATAGAGCCTTTGGAAATTATGAATGGATGATGAAATGGGGCAATGTAACAGTAGAATATGAGCTGCCTGGGATTTCAGACCATGCAACAATGCTACTGAACTTGGGAGTGGATCAAGCTAATACTAGGAGTCCTTTTAGATTTTTTGATGTTTGGGCAGATCACAAAGAGTTTACACAACTAGTAGAAGAAGCTTGGTAACAGTGTCAAGATCTTTGGCTAATGAGAGGAATATGGAGAAAGTTGAAAAGGCTAAGAACTACATTGAAGACACTGAACAACAGAGAATTTAGGAATGCTGAGCAAAAAATGGAAAATGCAAGGGAAGAAATAAAGAAAATATAAAGTCAAATGTAGCAAAAGTTTGATGATGTATTGCAAGCTCAAGAGAGGGATGAACTGCAGAAATTAGAGAAGTGGGCAATGATAGAAGAAAGCATTATGAAGCACAAATCTAGGGATAAATGGATAAAACTAGGGGATGCAAATACCAAATACTTCTCAGCAGTAATGAAAGAAAGAAATCATAGGAAACAAATAAAAGAACTGATGGGATCCGATGGTAACAAGATAAACAAACAGGAGGGGATTCAGGAAGAAATTTTGAGATTCTATAAAGGCCTTATGGACACAGCAACTGTGAATCTAACAACAGTTAATAGAGAAGTAATGAAGAAGGGGCCTACATTGAACAAAGAGCAGAGAATGATCCTAAACACAGAAGTAACCAGACAGGAAGTGTATGAAGGGCTAAAAGGAATAGGAGATGATAAGGCACCAGGGATAGATGGCTATAATGCAGTATTTTTAAAGAGAGCATGGCACATTATAGGTGATGAGGTGACTAAAGCAGTACAAGAAGATTGTATAGAGCTATTAGTTGTACAGCCATAACTTTGATACCAAAGATAGAGAATCCAGTAACAATTAAAGAATATAGACCAATAGCATATTGCACAGTGCTATACAAGCTGATCTCAAATATATTGGCAGCTAGAATGCAGAAGATACTAGGAGGGATCGTTTGTGATGCACAAGCTGGATTTGTACCAGGGAGGAGAATAGGAGACAACATTATTCTGGCTCATGAATTAGTTAAAGGTTACACAAGGAAGCATATAACACCAAGATGCATGATCAAGATTGACTTACAAAAAGCCTATGACTCAGTTGAATGGAGCTACTTGGAGTAGGTTATGAGGTTAATGGGATTCCCAGAAAGATACATGGCATGGGTGATGGAGTGTGTTAAAGCAGTTAACTACACAGTCATAATAAATGGAGAACCAACAGAACCTTTCAATGCTAAGAAGGGTTTGAGACAAGGGGATCCTATGTCCTCATTCTTGTTTGCAATAGCAGTGGAGTACCTGAGCAGAACACTGAAGGACATGGCAGGAAGCAAGCAGTACAAATACCATCCCAGATGTGCCAGATTATCACTAACTAATTTATGTTTTGCAGATGATCTTTTAATATTTTCCAAAGGAGAAGCTGAATCAGTAAAAGCTATAATGAAGCGCTTTAATCGATTCTCAAAAGCTTCAGGATTGCAAGCAAATAAAGGGAAAAGCTCAATTTATTTTAGAGGAATGGGACAACAAGAACAAGAGCAGATACTGCAGGAATCAAGATTTACAAGGGGAGAACTACCTTTTAAATATTTAGGAGTACCACTTTCAACTAGAAAACTGACAATGATACAATGGAAACCAATCATTGATAAAATTGTGGTAAGAATCACTTCATGGACAGCAAGAAAATTATCATATGCAGGAAGAAGCCAATTGATTAGCAGTGTCTTATTTGGAGTTCAATTGTACTGGGCTCAAGTGTTCATATTACCAGTTAAAGTAATGAAAGCAGTGGAAAGCTTCGGTCGAAGTTACTTATGGACTGATAATAATGTCATAACAAAGAAAGCCTTGATCAGTTGGGAAATAGTATGTTGTCCAAAAAGCAGTGGTGGATGGAATATCATAAACATGAGATTGTGAAATAAAACTGCCATTAGTAAGCTATACTGGAATGTGGCACATAAAGAAGATAGAATGTGGATAAAATGGATACATGCATACTATATAAAAGGGCAGCAGATGGATCAAGTTAAACTACCAAAGCAGGCAAGCTGGATGGTGAGGAAAATATTTGAAGCAAAGCAGATCATAGAAGATAATAATGTGCAAATATGCAAGGAAAAATGGATTATCAAACAGATATATCTGCAGCTACTGGATGACCAACCTAGAGTCTTATAGAAATGTCTGATGTTTGGTAATGCTGGAAGGCCAAAAGCAAAGTTCACTCTTTGGTTACAAATGTAGAACAGACTACTCACTGTTGACAGGCTAAAAAATGGGGTATTCAGGGAGAGGACAGATGCAGTCTATGCCAGAAAGAAGAAGAAACTTGAGATCACATATATGTGGAGTGTACATACACAAAAGAGGTAATAAGTAAAGTGATGAATTGGGCACAGAAACAAAGCTTGACAGGAACAAACTGGGAACAACATATTCAAGAAGTGATTAAGAGAGCTAAAGGTAGATCCAAAGAAGCACAATTATTCAGGATGTTATACACGGAAATGGTACATAATATATGGATAGAGAGAAATCAGAGAATTTTTTAGAAAAGGGATACGAGCTGGGAGAAGATAGCAAAGGAGATAGTGTGTTTTTGTTGTGCACGAGCTCCTCCTAGTATAGTTGATATAGTGCAAAGTCATAGATTTTGAATAGATAATAGGAAGAGTATGAGACTAATGTATATATGATAACTAACTATGGTGCTATGTAAAGATTTACTAGTGATTAATACAAAAGCTAATTACCAAAAAAAATTCTTACATTTTCTTTAATATGTTTTGAATATAAAAAATTGGCTATAGTTTAACAAAAAATTTAGGTTTAGTATGTCTATTCAGTCTCTAATCACTCTTCTTGCCCTTAACTTTGGGCCTTTGGTCTGTAAGTATTTATCTCTTTGGACTTCTTCTTTCCTCAATCATACAAATTTTAATTTGTTTCCTTTGTGAATTTTGTACCACTTTTGTATTAATATCTTAAATGCATCGGTTCTTATGTTGTATCAAATTTTTTGACAAGAAAAATTAGGGTTTCGATTGAGTTTCTTGTTGATGAAAATGAAGTTGGTGGGGATATCTAAGGCTCTAAGTTGTTCGACAAAGTCGTCAGTTGGATGGTAAAGTAAGTTATCACTGAACTTTAAGAAGATTAAGAGAAATAAAGAGAGATTCTCAGTGGTAAGAGTTAAGCTACGATGGAGCAAACTGATGATTACCCTGGGATTCTTGCTTTCTCTGTTTTTCTATTTTTGTATTTTTATTAAGGAATTTGAGGTTTTAATGGAATCTTAATATAATTAATACAATTTATTTACAAACAATTCAGGTAAGTGAAAAGTATAATAATCGTATATAATTAATTGTTGAGTCATTCCTCTGCCATAGTAATAATTAACACAATTAGGATCCTTTATTTTCTAATTTCCATAGTAACTGAAAAGCATATTAAAGTGTATATTTGTTTCTTCATTTATCCATTTGTAATAGTAATGGACAGTATTTATTTTTCTTTTTTACTTCAAGTTTACTATGTTGTTGTCACGATCTAATTCCCGAACCCGATCGTGATGGCGCCCCTCGTGAAGACAAGGCCAGCCAAACCAAAAGGGAACACCTATTTTAAACAATTAATTATCATAAACGGCAATAAAACATAATATAATATCCATAAATTGCAGAATTTAACATTACTAACAACAGAAACCATCCCGACACAGCCCAAATCGGGGGTGTCATAAGTCATGAGCAACTAAGAAATCCGGATACAAGCCTACTGAACACTAAATCTGATACAATAGTTCTAAAAATATGAAAATGATAAGATAAGGGAGGCACGGGGCTGCGAACGTCAACAGCTACCTCGTAGTCTCCGAATCACTGCCTGGACTGGGAGAATCAGCACTCAGGAGCGGACTCTGCGATGCCTGAACCTGCACGCATGGTGCAAGGAGTAATGTAAGTACTCCGACTCAGTGAGTAATAACTATAAATAATGGTTGAAAGTATGAAAACACGTAAAGGTACAAAGCAATTCCATATTAAGCAGTAAAATCACTTAAGGTAGTAAATCAGTGAAGAAGTCAAATGAAACCCCTTTTTAAAACAAGTAAAATAGGAAATTTTAATAGGTAAATATCAAGTAGAAATCCGCCCCTCGGGCACAGTATCAATCGCTCAGAACAGTATCAGCCCCTCGGGCTCACTCTCATATCATAATGGGTACCTGCGCTCACTGTGGGTGTGTAGACTCCGGAGGGGCTCCTTACGATCCAAGCGCTATATCAAGCCACCTCGTGGCATCATCACTCGGCACTCAGCCTCACATCACTCGGCACTCGGCCTCACATCACTCAAGCCACCTCATGGCATATAAAGTATCTCAGGCCCTCGGCCTCATATCACTCAGCATATCCTCATATATGGCCCTCGGCCTCACTCAGTCCGAAGCTCACTGTGGGTGTGTAGACTCCGGAGGGGCTCCTTACGATCCAAGCGCTATATCAAGCCACCTCGTGGCATCATCACTTGGCACTCAGCCTCACATCACTCGGCACTCGGCCTCACATCACTCAAGCCACCTCATGGCATATAAAGTATCTCAGGCCTTTGGCCTCATATCACTCAGCATATCCTCACATATGGCCCTCGGCCTCACTCAGTCCGAAAATCATCACAAGCCCCTTGGGCATTAGTAAAATAATAGTCCTCAGCCCAAAACATGATGTAGAAATATCATTTAAGTTTCAAATTTGAGTAAAAGTGGTTGAGTTTGTAAAACAGTAGATATCAACAAGACTGAGTTCAAATAATAAGTCAAGCAGTGAGGAAACGGTGATAAAAAAATCCCCGAAGGGTCTAAATAGTTGGCACGAAGCCCAAATATGGCAATCAGCCCAAATCATGATGATAACAAATACATTTCAATCGAATACGCGGTAAAGTCATCAATCGGGACGGACTAAGTCACAATCCCCAGTAGTAAAAGACCCCACGCTCATCATCCAGTGCGTCTCACCTCAATATAGCACTACGATGTGCAAATTCGGGGTTTCAAACCCTTAGGACATCATTTACAATCATTACTCACCTCGAACCGGCTACAACTATAGCTCGCGACGCCTTT